CCTCCCTATTTTCTACTCACCTACGCCAAATTTCTGATTCTTGGTTGGCTTCCACATGTTCAGGTTGCCATGAGAACGACAGTGATCTCAAACACTACCATAGGTATCTGGAAACATGGATACAACGGGTCATCGTGATAACTCCACTAGGCTATACATATTGACTATTTACTTTTGAAGCTTCCTTGGGCGGACGCGAGGGCGGCGCGGCGGCGGCGGAGGCGTTCCCTCGCCGCGCGCCCGCTTCGAATCCTAGCTCGCCTCCCGCTGGGGAAAAGCCTACTCCCGGGGCTTAGGGGCCCTCATAGGGCCTTTAAAGGTGGTATCTGATGACGAAGATGCCAATGCACGTCCCGGCGAAGTGTCACCTTTGGAGACGGATCGGCTCCCAGGCCCGGCGACCACTGCGAACCCGTACTCGCCTTCCGCGGGAAAGGGGTCTTTCTTTGGGCTTGAGGACTCTCCTGGTGGGTTTTAAAGGGGGAATAATGGCGAAGCCATCAGAGATTGTCTTATTTGTGTCACGCTTAAAAGGGCATCGGAAGAAAGCCTCTGAAAACGACAGGGGCGTGGATGACAAGCACTATGAGGTCTGCGTAGGTCTAGGCAGTGGTATTGACAATTTAAAATATTTCTTTGACTGTTATCTGACGGCTTATATACCATATATTTCATGTGTAGTGAAAGGGCATACGGAAGGTCCAGGTTGGTTTGATTGATTTCCTGTATTAAGAATGATGTACGCACCATCTATAGTTTATAACTTCTCGTTACATGCTTATCCTTAATTATATTTTTATGACACATGTTCGCTTCACATTTCTGTGGATGTGCACCAAGTACTTTTCTTTCAGTGCCAACAGCTCAGGCCCATTCCAAGGATTTAATAGTTGCAATTTTCATTATCAGGATTTTAATGCCATAGTTATCGTGCTTACGTTACAATAAAAAAGACTGGGAACTAGCTGATGAAAACCAATGGACAATACCCGGCAGGAAATCATAGAAAGAATAAAAATAGTATATCTGATTAAAGAAATCGGCGAAGGTGAATCTACTATAAGATAAGGACCTTCCACCCCATGTGTTAAAAAAATGCCATGAACCAGCTATGTCCAGATACAATATACACATTGAGAAGAAATATTTCCTCTTCACAAATAGTATTTAGTTACTATTTCCAAAGTTCATAACTATTCCAGAATACCCAAGGGTAATATTCAGAAGATTAAGAGACGTAACTTATGAAGAACCAAGGGACCGTTATATAGAGCATTTCACCCAAACATATCGGCTGTTAGCATTCCATCATTTGCGTGGGAATAAGCAGCCTTATTTTCCTTTCTCAGTTAATGCAGTTTGCTGTTGGACATACATGTAAATCAGATAGAGCTCTGTGAAGTATTTCGACCCAGATTACAGCTGATTTGATACGACACCGTGCGTCGATGTTCAAGGAGAATTAGAATAAATAGATGTTACATTTTCAACAACCAAAGGTATGAACATGAAAATTGACCTGAATAAGAGTATTTGTGGAATTCTAGGATTTACTTTTGAAAGACAATGGTGGACGATGAACACACGGAAAATAAACCGAAAAATACGGTAATAACAGAGAATCCTGATTTAGCATTTATTTGCTGTGAAAGTGTTAAACAAACCCATATTTTATAACAATAGGCTAAAATGGATCGGCCTCAGAAATAAGACTTCCCTTTGTTTGACTGTTTTCTCCATGTCTTTTGGCCCATCTATTGAAATACACACACACTCACACACACACACACACACACACACACACACATACACACACAACACCACACACACACACACACACAACTTACACTACACACACACACACACACACACACACACACACACACACACACACACACACACACACACACACACACACACACACACACTACAACACACACACACACACACACACACACACACACACACACACACACACACATACACACACACCACACACACACATACAAATATATAATATATATATATATATATATATATTATATATATATTTATATATATATATATATATGTTATGTATGTATTACACACATATATATGTAAATACATACATGCACAAATATACACACACTCATGTATATTATTATATATATATATATATATATATATATATATTATATATGTATGTATATATGTATATATATATGTATATATATATGTATATAGATATGTATATATATATATATATATATATATATATATATATTTGTATGTATGTATGTATGTATGTATGTATGTATACATATATATATATTATATATATATTATATATATATATACATATGTGTGTGTGTGTGTGTGTATATATACATATGTATAATATTATATATATATATATATTATATATATATGTGTGTGTGTGTGTGTGTGTGTGGTGTGTGTGTGTGTGTGTGTGTGTTGTGTGTGTGTGTGTGTGTGTGTGTCTATAAACATGCATGTA